GTTTCCAGATGGATATGCGGAGCAAATCCATCTGGCGGAGTCAGGTTAAGAACCTTAGGTATAGATTTGGTTTGAAGTTTAATCACGTTCATCGACATGAACAGCATTTTAGTTTAGTTTTTAAGGATGTATGGAATTGTTCTGGTTTTTGCCATTGAATGCAAAACTGTTATTTTTTAAAAACAAGATCACTTCTGCCACTTCTGAAATATTTTCCCCCACATTTATGGTTAAACATTTAGATACGTCCTTGTTGATGTTGGATAAAATCTGATATTTGCAGAGTTTTTTATTGGTTATTCTGGGATTATTGATCACGCTTCAGAATTAGGAGAGTTCTTTTGAATGCTTTGGTTTCCTTTAATGGATCCCATTTTAGGGAAAGCATGATTAAAGTCAGGATCTTTCCAGGAGTCCTATTTTTATGTAGGTTTGGGATTCAGCTGTCAACCATTACAGAAATTTGGTTATGAAGTTTTTTATTAAGGACATTTGCAGAGGTGTTTGGACCTGAATCCCTTCTTGTCAGTAAATGCACTTAGACAGCAGCTCCAAATAACATACCTACATTTTCATAACTGAAAGGATTTTTTTTTGCCTTTTCCTAAAGGCCACCTTAATTATCTTTGCTATTGGATAAACACTGTTTAACATAATTGTGATTCAAATGAATGAAAGAATGACAAAAAATAAAACTTACATCGCTTTTAGTTTGATGAATTTTCCCTTCTAAAAAAAAACCAAACAGTAGAAATGATTTGAAAACACTGTCCAATAAAGAAAAAATACTTTAAAAGTTGTTTTTTCTCTCACTTTTACCTGTCTTCATTATGATGACCACAGGCACAGTAATGATAATGACCAGAATAACTAGGGACACAGTGATGTATAACCACAGCGGACCTGAAAACAGAAAATCCAGTTGATATGATGAAGATGTCGTGTAGCATTTCTTCTACTGATTTAGAAAACGAAAGCAACAGTTTTTGCAGAAATGTGGTTGGAGGTTTAGAATAAAAAAAGTGTTTCATAACCTGTTTCTGCTGCACCCTTCTTTCCAACAGGTTTCAACGTGCTGCTTCCTGGTTTCATGTTGTCCTTTCTCAGTGATACAGTTGTTGATAATGTTGGACATTTCAGACCTGTTCTTCTGCTCTCTATGGAACAAAGGGGCAAAGTAATTTAAATGTTAAAAATAATTGAATCCAGTGAATGTTAACAAGACATTTTGCAAGTTTTAGTGTTTCTCACCTTGTGTATCGGAGCTGAGGATGAAAAACTGCCCTTTATCATTTTCTCTCTTTATTTCACATGTGAACAAGTTCAAATCTGATGGGTAAATGCAATGATTCCTCTGGAATTTGATGACAGCAATGCAAGAGCTGCATGATTCAGTTATAATTTGGTGATCTCTCTCCAAACCTTTACCCTCAAACAACCACCTCACTTTGTGTTTACACCGTTGATGTGTCAGCACAGAGCAGTTTAATATCATCCAGTCCTGGTCCTGATGCTCAGTCACTGAGTATTTAAAATAGGGAAAAAGAGTGAATATAGCTACTTCTGCTTTTGTGCCTCCAGTGTGTTGTTGTTAAAAGCAAAAGATGTTGTAATTACCCACCTGTGACCACTGAAAGATGCACCAAGGAATTACCACCAGTCTTTTTTTCTGTTCTACACTGTCTGCATGCATATCGACCAACATCCTCAGCTCTGACTTTCTTTAGAACCAGAGCACAGTTTGCAGCAACACTCAGTCTATCCAAGCGATCTTCGCTGATCTTTCCTTGTTCAATCAGTGCCGTTTCTTCTGATTTTATTGAGTCTTTGTAGAGCCAGCTGATGGTGTCACAGTTGTGATCATCTGCTACATTTTCACAGGACAAAGTCACGTCATCTCCTTGTCTGACAGTCAAGTACAG